CTGTAATATGTCTTTATATAAACCTGCCTTGTATTTTTGTTTTTCAGCATATGAAAAGGACAGGATGGGTAAAACGGAATATACCTGATCCTGAAACAATCGCTGGACATATGTATCGAATGGCAATGTTATCTTTCCTAGTGGATGGAAAAGAAAATTTAGATAAAACTAAGTAAGACAGTATTATTTATTGTTAGGATATGAAATATTATAATTATTTTTATGAAGTCAAATAATGTACTTATCATAATAATGCATTAATAAAAATAAAAATATAATTTTTTAACTTTTAGAATAATGCAAATGACGTTAATTCATGACCTAGCTGAATGTATTGTCGGAGATATTACACCTTTGTGTGGTATACCACCAGATGAAAAACATAGGATGGAAGATGAAGCTATGGAGGATATATGTAAGCTGTTGGGTGATAAGGGACCTGAGATATTACAAATATTTCGCGTAAGAAAATTCATTATACTATAATTTGTTCACAATTCCTTTTTTATTTTATTAATATTTTCTAATTTTCTAATATCCAGGAATATGAAAAGCAGGAATCTCCAGAAGCACAGTATGTGAAAGATTTAGATAGACTAGACTTGCTAATGCAAGCATACGAATATGAGAAAAGGGACAATATTCCGGGAGAACTGAACGAGTTCTTTGTCGCGATTCACGGTAAAATCAGACATCCATTTATCAATAAAATCGCCATTGATATAACCGAGGAAAGAGATAAGTTATTAAATCATAATTCGAATGCTACAAAATAACAAAAATCATACTCTGAGGATAAAAAACTGGAAGAGCGAGCTTCCAGATAGCTCAAATGATATTTTATGTTGATTACTATGTCGTACGCGTCAACGAAGTATACTTAAATCACGATTATTAATATTAAATCTTATTGTTAGTATGTAAGATTTTGATATAGGTATGATGGGTATGATAGGTATGATATAAATAATGCAATAATTGATTACTTAATTTATTTGAAGGTTTGCTGCTTAAGTTTATTTATAGATTACATAAAGAATTTATTTGTGCATATGTATTTTGCCTCTTGACTTTTGTATTAGTATGTATTAGTGTCACGCACTAGTCATTTTCTTATTTAAATGGTTAGAGTGTAAAATATGTGCATACTTGTATATCCCATTCATGTTATTTATTGGAATCAATATTTAAACACAGTAAAGCAATTACCAAATATTATTTTCTAAACACTATATAGTTCATAAAAAGAAAAAATTTCTAATATATATATATATAT